GCCGCGACTCCCTCGCCGCGCCGTCCGAGTGCGGCGGGTCCGACGCGTCGCGCGGCGCCGGCGCCGCGCGCGCGCGCGGCGCCGGCCGACGGCGCGGCGCGGCGCGGCGCAGGTCGCGGCCGGGCCGGCCGGAGGTGAGCATCGAGGTCGTGCACGAGCCGCGGCTCCTGAGCCTCGCGCGGTCGCGCCCGCCGGCGGCGGGGAAGCGCGCCGCCGCGCGGGACACGACCGATGAGCCGGGCCGACGCGGCCGCGCGTCGCGCCGCGCCGTCCCGGTCGGTTCGACGCCGGCCCGGCTCGCCTTCGGACGCGTCGGCCTCCCCCGCGGAGGCCTCGAGCGACGCGCGCCTCCCGAGACCGCGCGCCTCCGACGGCGCGCGCGCCGACGCCGCGTCGGATCGCGCGCGGCCCGCCCAGGCGCGCGTCGGTCGTCGCGCGGAGGCTCCGGAGCTTCGACGGCGGCGACGCGGCGGCGCCGGCGCCCGACGGCGACGGCGCGGACTTCGGCGACGCCATCGACGCGGCGCTGAGCGTCGACGGCTCCGTCGCGCCCTCCGAGTGCGGCAGCGACGCGACGAGCGCGTTCGCCGGCTCCGACGGCTTCGAGAACATCGCGGCGCGCCGCGCGGCACTCGAGGGGTCCGACGCGGCCGCGGCGCGCGACGCGCGCGACGGGTTCGACGCGAGCTCGCGCGCCCCGCGCCGGGGACTCGACGGGCGCGCGCGGCTCGTCCCGGAGTCGGCCGGGGCGACGCCGATCCGACGGAGCGAGCGAGCTCCGAAGCCCCGTCGGGACGCCCGGAGCCGCGGCTCCGGCCCGCGCCGGCGGCCGCCGCGCGCGGGGGGCGCCCGCCGCGCGCGCCCGGACGCGCCGCCGCGCGCAGGCCGCGAGCCGCGCGGCGGCGGCGCGCGCGGAGCGCGCGCGCGCCGAGGGCGACGTGCCGTGGGTGCGCTGGTGGGACCGGCGCGCGAACGCCTACGACGCGCTCCTCGACGCGCAGCCGGTGCTGCGCGCGGGCGCGGCGCGCGTCGCGCGCGCCGCGCTCGCG